CCCAACCTTTGCATTCCAATCACCAGTAATGAGCAATACATCTTGATTGCATGTTTGACCAATTTCAGATTGAAGAAGTTGGTAGAATGCTTCTATTTCATCTTCACTGGCTTTAGTGGTTGGTTCATAAATTTGAATAATAGTGGTATTAACTGGCCTTCCCTGTAGGCACATGGATATTATCCTATCACTTACAGCATTGTACCTCATGAATAATCTGGATATGTTCTTTTTGACGATGAATGCAACACCATTCCTTTTCAATTTGTCATTCCCCACATAGTAAACCATGTGGTTGTCAGATTCAAAATGGCCAATACCAGTCCATTTCAGCTCACTAATGCCTAAGATATCTATGTTGATGCGCTCCATTTCATTTTTGACAACTTCCAATTTTTGCAAATTTATACTGAATACATTCCATGTTCCAATTTTCACTGGTTGTTTACAGCTGTTTCTCCTCATTTTGAGTTGTGGCCCATCAGCAAATGAAGGTTCTGTGCACTTTTCTACCCCGAGTTTAACTCTATTCACGTCATATTGTGGTAAATTCTACTTTGAGGAGGCATTTTTTGCCCAGTCGCATTCTGAGTGCCTTCCCACCTTCCAGTCCTGTATCTGACAGTGTTTCTCTGCTATTCATAGAGTTTTCAGTGACTAGCGATTTGGAAGTACTTTGTCACTCTTTCTTCCTAGTCTGTCTTTGTTTGGAAGCTCATCTGAAACCTGTCCACCATGGGTGACCCTGCCGGTTATTTAAAATACCGGTGGCCTAGCCCTCAGAATCAAAGCAACTCAAGCCACCACAGCAGGACAGACAGGCGAGTGGTGGCCGTTTGGTTTTATGTTGATACTGTCCCTTTAAATTTCAATGTCAATCCTGATACAATCAAGATACAATCAAGATGTTCTCTCCCAAGATGGCAGCTTCAGGAACAGCTGAGTGTCTTGATCCAGAATACAATGGATTTCTGGATTCCCTTCAAATTCCCCAGCTTTAAACCCTCCGATCCTCCAAACATACCTTTATATTTGTTTCAGAGTTCCAACATTATCTCGTGAGCCCTCTTGACCTGGTGTTCTGTGTTGTTGTTGACCGAGCTCCTCACTACACATATACCCAATCTGCCATCTTGAAGGAGCAAGGCCTGGTAGTATAGTGGTTAGACCTCGCTGCTTCAAAGATCTCGCTGCTTTGAAGAGCATAGGCTATGCTTTTTCCATTAACCCACCTTGCCTCATAATGTAGAATGGCCAAAGCTGTTGACTCCAACACCATACGAGTTTACTACAAGTTCAGTCACTTTGCAAGGATTGTCCACTTAAATAATTAATTTTCCTTTCCTAATTTTAAACCATTCAATGTTCTCTTGCTCTGTTCAAATAAACTGCCTGACCCAAGCCATAGAATTTTCAATAGCTTCATATGCATGTGAAAGTTGGATAATGAATAAGGAAGACCATAGAAGAATTTTTGCATTTGAGTTATGGTGTTGAAGTAGATATTAAAAGTACCATGGACTGCCAAAAGAACAAACAAATCTGTGTTGGAAGAAAGACAACCAGAATGCTAATTAGAAGAAAGAGTCTCCAGACTTTGTCTCTCATACTTTGAACATATCAGAAGGGACCTGTACCTGGAAAAGGACATCAAGCTTGGTAAAGTGGAAGATCAGCAGAGAAGAAGGAGACCTCTAAGAGATGGATTGGTAGAGTAGCAGCAGCAATGGGCTCAGGTGTGGCAATGATTGTGAGGTTGATGCAGGAGCTGGTTTTGTTTCATTCTGTTGTACATAAGGTTGGTATGAGTTGGTACTGACTCGACAGCATCTAGCAACAACAATAGCATAATTAATTAATTACTATGTTTAAAAAAAAAAAAGATGCAAGTTGATAGAATTACCCACTTTGTGATTGCTTTCATGTTAACTTACCTATATTCCCCATCCTACTCTGAGCTTATGTCTATAAAATAATTGGATGTCTTAATTTAATTAAATTAAAAGCAAACCAAAGCCATAAAATTCCTGAAATATGAGCAGAGAACAGCTTTAAGAAATAGAAAAAAAGAGTTCTTTTGTTTTTGTTTAATTTAGGGAGTGATTTCATTACCTTTGGTGGCAGACGTAAGTTCAAAGCCAGACAGTTCAAAGGGAAGTAAAACTCAGAGGGAAGATGTAAGATATGACTTGGACAACTAAAATTTCTCTTAGGTTTTATACCAATTGCTAACATGAGCTATGATAATTAGCTATTTTGACAATTGTCCAATGAAAATTTCAAGAAGGAATCAGCCTTGAAAGGTAATAATAAGCTTCTAAATAAACCCAAAAAAGATTCCCCAGATTATAACACTGAATCTTGGTTCTATCACTTAATAGCTCTGTGGTCTTAGGCTAAAAGTAACTTGACCTCTCTGAGACTCGGTGTTTTCATTTTTAAAAGAGAATAATGATACCTGTCTATTTTCCAGGACAGATTGTGAAATTTAAGTTCAATAATGCATATAGTCAATACAGTCAAACTCTTGTCTACATTTTACTTATTATCATAGTCAAAAGATAAGGCTTTCCTCATTGGGAAAAGTAAGGTACACTATGATATTTTCTTTGAATTTTCTTTTGCAGCAATAAATGGCTTTGTCTTTGGGAACCTACCAGAGTTGAGCATGTGCTCACTAAAGCGTGTGTCCTGGCACTTGTTTGGTATGGGCAATGAAGTGGATGTCCACACAGTTTTCTTCCATGGACAGATGCTAACCATCCGAGGTCACCACACTGACGTGGCTCACATCTTTCCTGCCACTTTTGTGACTGCTGAAATGGTGCCCCAAGAGTTAGGCACCTGGTTAATTAGCTGTCAAGTGAATCTTCATTTGCAAAGTAAGAGCCAACATTTTGACCTTTGGGGGGTGGGGATGTGGTTTGAAATTATCAGATAGGTTTTTCTGGTGAAGAATCTTGGTATAAAGGATGAAACCCTGTACTAGAAATCAGGCTACCTAAGTTCTTTCCTTACTCTGCCTTAATTTTATGCGTGACCTTAGGTATATCTCTCTGGGTTTCATCTTCTCCATCTTTAATATTAAATGATCTAAGTATGTAAAGATGGAATTTAAGGATTTTAATTTTCATTGTAGTAAAAAAATATAACAAAGATTGGCATTTAAGTCATTAATTACTTTCACCATGTTGTGCTGTCATTATCATTATCTATTTACAAAAGTTTTGCAAATATGCTGTATCACTTCAGCAATAACTCCTATTCCTGCCATTCCTCAGTCTCTGGTAGCCACTAACAGAGTTTTGTCTTTATGCATTTGCCTATTGTAGATATTACTCATGCAATATTTGTTCTTTGTTGTCTGTTTTAGTTTACTAAGAAAATTTTTTTCAAATTATCCATGTTGCAACATGTATCAGAATTTTATTTTTTTATGGGTGAAAATTATTTCACTGTGAGTATAAATTATGTTTTATTTATTCATTCATCTGTTGACAGACACTTGGATTTTTTCTACCTTTTGGCTATTGTGAACATTGTTCACATTATATACAATGAACATTGTTATACAAGTATTATATGAGTCTCTGCTTTCATATATTTTGGTTACTTATGTACCTAGAGTGAAATTGCTGGATCATGTAATAATTTAATGCTTAATTTTTAAGAAACTGCCAAAGTAGCTGAACTATTTTACATTCTCAACAACAGTGCATGAGGGTTCTACAGTCTCCACATCCTTGCTAACACTTGTTATTTATAGTAGCCATCTTAGTGGGAATGAGGTAGTAGATATTGCATTCTGACTTGGATTTACATTTCCCTAGTCCTGGTGTTGTGCTGTAGGATAAGCATTGAGCTGCAAGGTCATTTGAACCGCAAGGACAGTGGTTCAAACTCACCAGCTACTACTTGAAAATCTTATACAGGGTTGCTATGAGTTGGAACCTACTCTGTGGCACTTAACAATTACAACAACAGTGGATTCCTATACTTCTGATGTGGCACTGCAGGATCAGTACTGACTATATACCATAAGATTGGCCATTTAAACCCAACAGCTGCTCCTCAGAAACCCTATGCAGGCTTGTTGTGAGTTGGAAATGACTAAATGGCATTTAACAACAATAAATTACCTCCTGTAGTGGCACTGTAGGATCAACACTAGGCTGTGAACCAAAAGCGCAGCAGTTCAAACCCACCTCAGAACCCTATACAGGGCCGCTTTGAGTTGAAACCAACTCGATGACACTTAACAGCAGCATCAACATACGATTAATGTGGAGTCCTGATGTGGCACTATAGGATAAGTACTGGACTGCCAAACCATAAGGCTGGTGGTTAAAACCCATCAGCTGCTCCTATGAAACCCTATAGAGTTGCTATATGTTGGAACTGACTCGACAGCACTTAACAAAAACAACAAAATTAATAATATGCTGATAATCATTTCATGTGTTTTAATTGCCATTTGTGTATATTTTTCAGATAATTGTCTACTCAACTCCTTTGCCCATTTTCAAATTGGGTTGATGTATTATTGGGATTGAGTTGTAGTAATGCTTTATACTCAGATATTAAGCATATTAAACCATTCTTAGAAATATTTTCTTCCACTCTGGAGATTATCTCTTTACTTTCTTGGTAAAGTCCTATGATGTACAAACTTTTTTTGTTTTTTTTTATGACATCCAATTTATCTACTTTTTCTTTATTTTTTGATCATGTCATATCTGATCATCCATTGTTAAAAAAGAGGCCGTGCACCCAGATTTTACACCATGTTTTCTTTCAAGAGTTTCATTGTTTGAATTCTTATACTTATGTCATTGATGTTTTAAGTTAATTTTCATATATGGTATAAGGTATTCATATATGGTATAATTTCATTCTTTTGCATGTGGATCAGGTTTTCCCAGAACATTTATTAAAGAGGTTATTATTTTTCCACCGTTCTTGAAAATCAATTGACTCTAGATGTATGACTTATTTTGGAGCACTCAATTCTATTCTATTGTTCTATATATCCTTATATCAGTAACACATTGTTTTGATTGCTGTAGCTTGGCACTGTGTTAATGTGCTTAACTGCAAAGTTGGTTTGAACCACAAGGTTGTGGTTCAAGCTCACCAGTTGCTTCTTGGAAACCCTATGCAGAGTCACTGTGGGTCAGAACCAACTCAACGGCACTTAGCAACAATAACAATAGGCTTTAAAATGGGGAAGTAGGAGTCATCTCATTTAATCTTTTTCAATATTGTTTTTGCCAATTTGGAACCCTTGCAATTCCATATGAATTTGCAGATTGACTTTTCCATATCTGCCAAAAAACTGTTGGAAGTTTTATAGGAATCACAATGAATCTGTAGATCACTTTGGATAGTATTGATATCTTCACAATATTAAGTCATACAATCCATGAATAAAGGATAGCTTTCCATTTATTATTTATATCCATATATAAGTCATCTTTGATTTCTTTCAGCAACACTTTGTAGCATTCAGTCTTTCACATATCTGGTTAAATTTACTCCTAAGTATTTTATTATATTATATGTTATTGAAATTATGATTGTTTTATTTCCTTCTCAGATTATTCATTACAGCTATGTAGAAATACATCTTCTTTTTAATGCATCAATCTTGTTTATTAGCCTTAGTAACTCTCTTGTGGATTATTTGGGATTTTCAACATATAAAATCATGTCATCTGAAAATACAGCTTGACTTCTTCCTTTCTAATTTGGATGCCTTTCTCATGGTTTTTTTTTGTTTGTTTGTTTTTTTCCTTACCTAATTGCTCTAGCTAGGACTTACAGTACAATATTGAATAGCAGTGGTGGGAGCACACATGCTTGTCATATTCCTGACAATAAAGGGAAATCTCTCAGTATGTCTCCATTGAGCAGTGAGTTTTTCATATATGTCTTTTATAATGTTGAGAAAAATTTTGAAGAATTTAAGTAGGTTTGATATCTATTCTTTTAGTTGAGAATTTTTTTATTACTTTCTCAATCTCTTTAGTTGTTATGTTGCTGTTGTTAAGTGCTGTCGAGTCAGTTCCAACACACAGTGACCCTTTATAGGGTTTCTGAAGAGCAGATGGAGAGTTTGAACCGCTGACCTTTTGTTTCTAACTGACTTTGTGGTCGAGTACTTATCCTACAGTGCCACAAATAAATCTGTTGAAATTTTCCAGTTTTTTCTTGAGTCAATTTAAGTAGTTTGTATGTTTCTAAGAATCTCTTTATTTCATTGTTGTTGTTGTTGTTAAGTGCTGTCGAGTCGGTTCAGATCTATAGCGACACTGAACTGTAAATCTTTACGGGAGCAGAAAACCTCATCTTTCTCCCGTGGAGCAGCTAGTAGTTTCGAACTGCTGACCTTGTGGTTCACAGCCCGATTCGTAACCACTACGCTACCAGTTAATGAATTTTTTGTCATACTGTTGTTCATAATCTCATATTATTTTTACTTCTATTTTGTTGATAGCAATATTCCCTCTTGCATTTATGGTTTTAACATTTTGTGTCCTCACTCTTTTTTTCTTTGTCAATCTAGCTAAAATTTTGTGTATTTTATTATTCTTTTCAATTAGCCACATGCTGGTTTTGTATATTTTGTCCATTACTTTTCTATACTCTTATCATTTTATTTCCTTTTTTCTAGTCTATTTGAGCTTAGATTGCCATTATTTTTCTTGTTTCTGTTTTGTTTTGTTTTGAAGTGTAAAACTAGGTTACCAATTTGAGATATATCATCTTTCTTAACATAGTCATATATAGCTCTAAATTCTCTCTGAGTAATGCTTTTTCTGAATCCCATAAGTTTTGTGTTTTTGCACTTTCATTTTCTTTCATGCCAAGGTATTTCCTATCCTAATTTCCCTCGTGTTCTTTTTTTTTTTTTTCTTTAACCACTTAATTGTTGGTCTTTTTGTTTTGTTTTGTTTTCATCATTCAAAAGTCTTTGCTTCTATTTGTTCTGCATTTTTTGTTTGTTTGTTTGTTTTTTGGGGGGGACTGTATAGAAAGACACACAGGAATATGTAGTAATTTAAACAACCAAAGGGCACATTCTAAGACCCTGCCTCATGGCCACCAGCACCTAGCCACCAGCACACAACCTTTCTCTTTCCATGAATGCCTTCATCTCTATCTCCTTCTCTGGTATCACTGCTTCTCTAGATAGGATCCCATATTCTGCTCATGCTCTTCTCCCTTAATAGTTCTAGGTTCCTCTGTTCTTGGACTGTCAGATTAACTACTCCCCTCTTTTCATTACAAAACTTCTACCTTTACAGTTGTGATAGTTGCAATTATTCATGATAACAATTATTATTGAATCATAAAAATCTTATCCTCATCTCTTTTCACCAGACCCATCTAGACAAGATGAATACTATTCAGTAGGGATTCTACCTTCCTCCTCACACTCTGAAACTAAACTCCCTCTTGAAAACGTGTAAGCCAGTCACTTCATGCCTTTATAGCCCCACCCATTTTAGGTAGCCAATGTCTAAATGCCAATCCCTATCAAGCCTGTATACAGAGAGGAAAGGATTGATCCTTGATGTGGAGACTCCTTCCCTCACAGTTAGTATTTTGAGCTACTATATTCACAAGTATAGGTCAAGTTCATCTAATTGTAACAATTTACACTTGTTTCCTTTATTAAAAACAAAAACAAATCTTCTAGTCAAATTCTGATAATCAAACCATCGAAGCTAGGTTGAATGGGTACTATCTACAAGTTTGGGCATTCTTGTTCATCTCTCCTCATTTCATATGAGCTGGGCATTTCACTCTCAGCTCTAGCCTTCTGTGTCCTTGTCCATGGGCACAAGAGTCCCCAGGTTTCACCACACACTGGACCAAT